CTAGATAATGAGATATCTATGCTAACTTAGTTCAAACTCAAAAGTCCATAATAGTGTAGCTTTACAAGGCACAGCTTTTTAAACTTACAGTATAATAAACTTTTTATATAAATACTAGTATTAATATTAATAATAGTAATTTTTCTTTTAGTATAATGTATTAACACTATGCACAATTATAGGGCAAGTAACTCAGCAACTGCAGTAACACTGGCAATATGCTAATCACTACCTGCAGAGCTTAAAGTACCAGGTCCTAATCTGGACCTGGTATTTTAAAAATTTTACTTACACACACTCTTGGGTTCATTAAGGCTACATAAGAATACAAACTTTACAGACTAAAGGGCCCAAGAGAAAAAGGCAAGGAAGGATGAAGAAATACTTGACCCAGTTACGCAAATTGCCATATTTTCTTAGCCATGAGAGCCTACTTTCGGATTTAGATGGGATACCAAGTTTATGAGCTTATTTTCTTCTTCTAGCGACAAAACCATCACCAAAGCTAAAATTTCTCTTTTAAGACTCAAGATGTAACAATACATGAGTATATGCATAATTTTCAGCCCCTTCTGCATCTAACAGCTTATGGAACGGTTAGATTTATCATAACATTTCAGGATAACTTTGCAAGCTTGGATTTTCTCAAGGATCACTACTGTAAAAAAGGTGAAAATACGATACATTATTTTCTAAGTCAGAAAATTATTTCAAGGTAAAAATTACTTGTAAAGTTAAAAAGTTTTTTATCATCTATGTTACTACAGGTCTCTCTGAATCTTCAGGGCTTCACTTGTTCTTGCCTCTACAGAAAGTTGTAAATGCTAAGAAGCACAAGAGCTTCGGTTTTAGATTAGAACAAGAAGTGAAGCCTCTGATGTGGTAACAATTTGGGTTGGCAAAGATCTTCATTTTATAATCCAGGCATCATCTTCAGACAAGAGTTTTTGTTTTGGAGAAAAAAAACCACAGAAACTACTTCCTCCCCTGTAGGCCCCTCCCAGCTGGGAGTAACTCTAAGTGCTACAATAATGAGAAAAATTGAATAGAATTGCAGTCATACTATTTGTGCAGGCAATTCACAATGCATCAGAAAGACTTACTAGAGTTAAAAGAAAAAACAATGAATGCTCTGGTCTTGAATGAGATTTCCACCTATATGATAACTATAATTCAGTAATACTTAAAATCAAGCAGGATGGATTATGGTTGTTAGCATAGCTGTAATTCATCTCCTGCATAAAAAGCACTACCATAAATTTAATACCATTTTTTTAGATTTCCCATGGATCCACATTCTAATTCAACAGAAAATAATTCTTTGTAACTGTTTAATTCACATAGGTGAGTTTGTGGCTCACCATGAGAAAAACAAAAGCACTACAATATGCATAAAGCCACCAAACTGGTACTACACCAAGCAACTGGAACTACTGTACCTCCAAACTTTTGAAAGGCAGCTTAAATAACTGAAGGTTAAAAGCCACAGTTTTGCACATATTCTCACCAAAATGAAAATTTTAAAAAAAGGAAAAAAAGCTTTCCTAGGTAATATTGTATCACTAATAACACTTATGGTTGTAAATGTGCTTGAGCATGTTTTAATTTGCCAGCTAAAATGACAACATTAATAGATTATTATGGTCAGCATTGACATGCATAAGACAGTTTTGCTTAGGGGGCAGAATATAATGGTAAACTCAAAAAACCTGAGATGTCAGATTTTTTTTTAAAGAGGTAATGGAATGGAAAAAGGAATGCAAGAGAATCTTTTACAGGTCTGATTACTACAAATTTAAATTGGTGAAATATTTCTTAAAAGAGATCACTTAGGTCCTCTCTAAAGGTATAGTAACAAGTAGAATCAAACACATTAAAAAGAAAAAAACAACCCAAACCAAACCAACACACAATGCCATTTCCACAGCACAACTGTGCCCTTGTCACAGCTTTTTAAGATATGTGTGGGTACCGTTTGTTGCTGTGAAGTTAAAACTTGTATTGAAAAGAATTAGAGAAATATGAAACCCTTCAAAAAACCCCCAAGGTTTGTTTCTAGACCTTCCAACTAATTATCCACGTTGGTAACTATGTATGTCACAGACGTTACCTCAGACAACATCTAAGTGCAGGTGCACTCTTCTCTCAAACCACATAAAATAGGGGGTTTTATGTGGGAAAGAGACTGTGTTAGTAAGTCTGAAAGAATTTAAGCAGTCTTCAAACACAGGGCCAACTCAAGACTTTTATGTATCTGATCCTGATGTCAGGAGCAGTACAAAAGGTACTTAAGACATATCTAAGTAGCTCTGGACCACAATTACCACACTTGGCTAACACTGAACCCAAATTTACGACTTCAGGACTGAGCTGCTGACAACCCTAGGCAATTGTGCAGATGCACGATCTGCACTCTGAAAAGGGCTTTGGGAATCAGCTTGTATCCAACAGAGCATTCTGTATATTCACTCTCGAATCTCTGAGCTCTCAGATGTGTAGTGTACACCCATTAAATCGCTTTATCATGCTGACTCAGTGGAGTTAAGCAGCCCTGCACATCATTCCTCAGTACCCAAATGAGATATCCTAGCCCTTCCCATTAACTGAGCTAACAAACAGTTGCTGCACACAATCTTCTAATTATAACAAGAACAAAGAAGAGAGACCTGAGTTTCTCATCAATACATTGGTTCTGTGAGTCACAGTGAGGATCTGGCTAATGGGCTACATGCAAGAAAGCAACCATACTTCATATACGGTGGACAGAAGATGGAGAAGATTTCTGACTTACACTAGAAAAAGCAAATTTCTTGAGAAACCAAGAACACAAATCAGTTTTGTCCTTGAATTAGCAATACAGTGAACAAGGAGTGAAAAGGAGTCCTTGCATTCTTCATACTTCTCTTGCACAAAATATATCCTGAACTCACGAGTAAAATAATTCAGTTTAAGAGAATTGTTCTCATTTATATTTAAAATCAGACCAACAGCTTTGTGTAACTTGTAGAACTTCCTGTGCCTGGAGCAAGGGGGAGAATCAGTGTAGACCGCTTTGCAGCATGATGCTATTTCACAAAGAGAAAAAACAGTATCAACACCAGTGCAGCAGGCAAAAGAACAATTTTGTGAAGATACCAGTTTTAGAACGGTAAATTTAAAGAAAAAAAAAAAAAAGGAATTGCTTCACAAAAAATCAATACACTTTCCCCATAGGTTCATGATGTAAAATTCTATAATCAAGGCTTGTAGATTTGTAATTATGGTATGTCAGCCACATTTAAACAAGCATGTTAAAAGATTGTTAAAGTTAAACTAACACAATTGCAATGTGAATTGTCTTAGTCTCATTCTAATCTACTCGTGTCACTTCCACTTAATCAGATGGAAACTATGGGCAAATGTCAGTGCTATTTTCAGGCAACTCGACTTACTTTGTTTGTGGTGGTTTTTAAAATGATTTCCAATCTGAAATGCAAATAAGGTACTTTAGAAGGTTTTTTTTTTCTCTAATCAATTCTCTCACTATCCAGCAGGTAGTTGCTTGGATTTACTGAGAGCAAAACTATTTTGAAGCGATTAAACAAGAAGTATTGCTTACTACGACATAAGCCATAAATACAGAAAACATAACTACTCATGCTCATCAAATCTACTTCTTTTGAATTACAAACTGTTGAAAGTATAAAATTACCAAGAGCCTGGCTATCAGATTTGCCAAAAGCAAAAGATCTCCCTATTTCTAGTTTAAATTTCTTTCACTGATACACAGCAATGTAAGAAATGTGCAAGCAAGTAAATCGCCTACAACCTAAAACACAGTCCCTTGAGAGGAGTACACAAAGAATTTATGACTTGCAGCTAAAAAGAATACCAAAGCAGAACAGCAGCTTCATTCTTAGTGTGGAAAAAAAGTGACGAGTTAGGTAACTAATGAAAAAAAAAAAAAAGCTACAACAGATGATTAGCACAAGTCAAATGAAACGTCTAAAAAGCTCTCTATATCCTAACAGTTCTCAACCCTTGCCCTGTCTGATATATTCTTAAAGCCTGAGCACTGAACATGGTTAGAAATCATTATTACATGCTAGATTCCATGTGATTTTCTAACCAGGAAACAGAAAAAAAACCTAATGAAAATTAACTGAAGCGCTAAATCAGTCACTTTATAAAATGCTTACTAAGCCTCTATGCAAGTCTTCTCATACATCAGGAAAAAAATGCCTATGGAGTTGTTCTAGTTCAAAATAAGAGGAAAACGTTAATGTTCCCAAGTTGACACAAGTCACAGGTATGCCCATTGCAGCAGAATGCATAACTAGGCTTCTGGTTAGAGAAGGAAGGGTGGAGTGTGCCAGAGCCATACCTCTTGTATCTGTGTGCAGCTGTCACAGACCGGGGAGCTGTTGCTGTATCATGTCCCCACGGGGAGTTAAGATAACATTCCTCTTCTCCCTTTTTTTTTTTTTTTTTTTTTTAAAGCTACCTTTACTTAGAGAATGCCAGCTGCTGCAGAGTAATTGTAGATATGCCTGTTGCTACTGCACAAAACACTCAAGTCAAGTTTACTTGCTTATTCACATGGACATTCTCCAAAAGCAAATCTGGATCTTGCTGACTGCATTTGTCTTTGTAGCCTTAATAAAGCCCAGCATGACCAGTGTTTATAGCAAGAGCGATCCCGACAGATACACTTTTCTTAAAAATTACGACTCCTTTGAAACCAGGAAAGATCAAGGCTCTGGTGAAGAATCTACCAGGAATGCCCAGGGAGATGGTGGAGCCCCCATCCCTCGAGGTGTTTTAGGAAAGAATGGAGTACTATGGTCTAGTTAAAAAGGTGGTGATGCTTGGCCATAGGCCGGACTCGATTATCTCAGTGGCCTTTTCCAACATAATTGCTTCTCTAACGCCCTGGTTCTGCAACTTCTGAACCAGAAATATTCAACAGCAGCTTTGGTAAAAAAATTAAACAAAAAAACCAAATTTCTGAGGCTTCATGCCTCGGCAAGGTATGAGACTGCCTTGCACACCGAGGGGGCTTAGGTGACTACCCTCGACTCCCAAAGACTCTAAGAAAAGGGAACGAAACCCGCATTTAACCGTGTCCCAGAAAAGCGCGGCCTGTTCCCGACGGCGGTACGCGAGGGATGGAAGCCCGTGCCAGGGCCGCTCTCCGGCACAGCCCGCCAGCCCCGTACAGCACCGCGGGCCCGCGCCCGGCGCGGCCGGTCCCGCATGGAGCCCCGCTGAAGTCCCTCGGCCCGGCCGTGCAGGGCCGTGCCCCGGCCGCCACTCACCGCCTCACGACACCAGTCTTAATCTTGATCTGCCTGAGGCGCGGATCGGCCATGGCGGCGGGCGCCGTGACTGCGCAGCCCCGCGCCGCGCATGCGCCGAGCCGCCAGCCCGGGCGGCCCCACCGGAGCGGGCGGGAGCCCCGCCTTCCCCCCGTGCCCCGCGCAGTGGAGAGGGCCGGGCAGCGGGCTGGAGCCGTCCAGGCGGAGCCGCCCAGCGCCCGTCGGGATGGTTCGCGAACGGGGAGAGGGGTGGGAGCGGAGCCTCGGTACCGGTGTAGGAGCGGTTCCGATCGGTACCGTGATGGTGGTGGGCTGGAGAGTGACTGGCACCACCCGCTCCCGACTACTGATAACGGGGTTCGCATGATTAACGCCATTTCGCAAGGCAAGCTGACATTCTCTGGTGCTGTGTTCTGCGCTTTCCCCCCATTATCAGGCCCTGAAAGTACTGTGCACCAAGGAGACAAACCAAACAGATTTCTTTTTCCCGTTCTAGTGGCCTCAAGGTTCCTCAGCACCAGGCCGAACTCCCCTCCTTGCCCTTCTGCATATCCCAAGACCCGGCCAGCCCAGTGCTGTGCATGACCCTGTTGCAGCCCTACAGCCCTGCCTGCAGCCCCACAGCCCTGCTTGCAGCCCCACAGCACTGCCTGCAGCCCCTCAGCCCTGCCTGCAGCCCCCCCAGCACTGCCTGCCTGCAGCCCCCAGCACTGCTTGCAGCCCCACAGCCCTGCCTGCAGCCCCCAGCCCTGCCTGCAGCCCTACAGCCCTGCCTGCAGCCCCACAGCACTGCCTGCAGCCCCCCAGCCCTGCCTGCAGCCCCACAGCACTGCCTGCCTGCAGCCCCACAGCACTGCCTGCAGCCCTACAGCCCTGCCTGCAGCCCCACAGCACTGCCTGCCTGCAGCCCCACAGCACTGCCTGCCTGCAGCCCCACAGCCCTGCCTGCAGCCCTACAGCCCTGCCTGCAGCCCCACAGCACTGCCTGCCTGCAGCCCCACAGCCCTGCCTGCCTGCAGCCCCACAGCACTGCCTGCCTGCAGCCCCACAGCCCTGCCTGCCTGCAGCCCCACAGCACTGCCTGCCTGCAGCCCCACAGCACTGCCTGCAGCCCCACAGCACTGCCTGCCTGCAGCCCCACAGCACAGCCTGCAGCCCCCAGCCCTGCCTGCAGCCCTACAGCCCTGCCTGCAGCCCCACAGCACAGCCTGCAGCCCCCAGCACTGCCTGCCTGCAGCCCCACAGCACTGCCTGCAGCCCCCAGCCCTGCCTGCAGCCCCACAGCACTGCCTGCCTGCAGCCCCACAGCACTGCCTGCAGCCCCACAGCACAGCCTGCAGCCCCCAGCACTGCCTGCCTGCAGCCCCACAGCACTGCCTGCAGCCCCACAGCACTGCCTGCCTGCAGCCCCACAGCACTGCCTGCAGCCCCACAGCCCTGCCTGCAGCCCCACAGCACTGCCTGCCTGCAGCCCCACAGCACTGCCTGCCTGCAGCCCCCAGCCCTGCCTGCAGACCCCCAGCCCTGCCTGCCTGCAGCCCCCCAGCCCTGCCTGCAGCTCCAGCGCTGTCTCTCTGTCACCTTTGACAGGTCCTGAGGAGGAGCATGGACCAGAGCTGTCACTGGACAGTGAGACCTGAGACATCCCAATGGCCAGGGACACCTCTGCCTTCATCTACTTCTTCTGAGGATTGAGGGAGTGACTCATGTTCTTTCATATGATTTTTGAGTCTAGATTATGATTGTTATTTTGATACCATAAACAGTATGCTATGATCCACCCCCATCTGCAGAGGGTCCATGTGAACAGAAATCATAAATGAAATTGTATTTAAAAATTGTATATTTTACTACTTAGAGATTGCACTACACTGATTTGACAAGAGACATCTGAGAGGAGACCCCATACATGTCTGTAAGTATCTAAAAGGAGGAAGTCAAGAGGATGGATCCAGGCTCTTCCTAGTGGTGCCAAGCAGTAGAACAAGAGGCAATGGGCAGACACAGATGCCCAGGAAGTTCCACCTGAACATGAGGAAGAACTTTATTGTGCAGTGACTGAGCACTGGAACAGATTGCCCAGAGAGGGTGTGGAGTCTCCCTCCCTGGAGCCTCAAGAGATGCCTGGACACAATCCTGTGCTGTGTGTTCTGGGATGACCCTCCTGAGCAGGGAGGTTGGACCAGATGACTGACTCTGGTCCCTTCCAACCCAACCCTTTCTGCATGTAGTTCTGTTAATAGAAAGCCTCTGTTTTTCTTGTAATAAATTCTGTGCTCTACTAATAATGAAATCTTGCTAAGGAAAATAAAGCTTTAATTGTTAATCTGTTGTTTAATCGTTAAGCTAAGTATTAAACAGTACAACTTAGTGTTGTCATAGTTCTTCCAAGGATCTCTAGAAGAACCTGTCTGTCCCCTTAGTGTTTGATGGTTGGTAAAAGCAATAAAGAGGCAAGATTAGCACCAGCAGCTCAGTCCTGCAGTTGAAATCAACTGCTGGTTTAAGGGCTGTTTTCCTGTATGGTTATACTTAGTAGAATTACCCTTAAGTGAATTATCTGTACCCTTAAGTGAATTACCTGTACCTAACCACTTAAGGGTATAAATTCCTGGGGAAAAAAAAAAAACAACCCCTAGTGTCTGTGTTTGAAAGAACTTCTCCTGAATGAGTATTTAAATCAACAAGGAAAAAAAATAGCTTCAATGAACAAATAAAGGCAAGTACATTTTCAGTGAAATGCAGTTCAGGAAGGTCTGCAGAGGATTTTTTTTTCCCCCACATGCTTTTGTCCTGTGTTAGTGGCTTGCCTTGACCTTTGGTACTGCCAGTGACCAATATCTCTTGAGAAAAGCTGGCTGCAAGGAAGGAAGTCATGTTGCTCCTGGTGACATGACAGTTGCAGACCATTAGCCAGCAGCTGTGGCCAAGTGGCTGGCACCACCAGGCCCCATTCAGACATGGTATAAGCAAGGCTGAGACTGCTCAAGTCCACAGAGCTGTGTGTTTTCTGCAGAGGAGGATGAAAATGTGCCCTCTTACGGAGCCCAGCAAGCCTTCCCAGGAGACCTGGAACACACAGCCTTTGCTTGGTAGATTGTTGCTGAAGGGAGATGCAGGTCTCAAAATCAGCACTAGCTTAATGCCATGAACAACTATGACCTGGAGACAAGTTCAAAGATGTATTATGTATTTGATACACAAATCTGCCATAAGCCATGAAGGAGGTGGAGGAAGGAGGTCAGCATTCTGGCAGAGACAAAGGAAAACACAGCCCCTTATTTTGCCAGAAACTCAAATCTTACTATTCTGTCTTTTGAAAGAAGTATCAAGTCATGCTGGGGCTGAAGCTGTTCTCTAAAAATTCCAAGGAAACACAGTTATGCTGCATACTCCTTGAAAATACAGAAGTCTTCAAGTAAAGCTGAATTACTACCATATGAGGTTTTTATCAAGAATAATCTTTAATGGCATTTCTATATTTGGCAAAGTTATTCAATAAGTGAGAAGGCTAACAACAGATAACAGTACAAAACTAAAAAATTGCCTGGAAGCAGCAATATTAAGAAAATTACTTGTGTTTCCAAGTGCTAAAAAGGTTTTATTTCTAGCCCTGAAGCATTAACTTGCATTACTAACAGCACTTAGGCTCAGCTACTGAGTTTTAGAAGTAGAATGCAACTGTTTTCTTACAGGTAATTCACTTAACTAAATAGATGAAAATATACCAAGTCTGTGTTTATATTTAAGCATATTTGATGCTAATGTGAAAAAGATGTTACTGGTGGATCATGGAGTATACTGTAAAATGTGACAGAAAGCAATGCACTTTGCTATTCATACATGTTTGTATTAATAACTGAAAATTATTAATTAACATTTAAAACCCCAGTAATTTTATTTCTAAGGGTATGGATATCGGGATATTCAGGGAAGTATGTACAATATGTTTTTCAGGACAGACCCTCCTGTTTAAGTAAAGATGTGTATGGGGAGTTTGTTTTCCAGAACTCCTTTGAAACAATTTTTAGCCTAGTCAGTCAGAGATACATTTCCATGTGAATTAATGATGTTACACTGGAGTTGAATACAATCCTTTATGAAGACTGTGAATCCTGATGTACCTTTTGGATGGTTGAGAAACTATCAATTCTTCAATGATTTTTGGCAGCATTCTGCTTGTGTTGCATCTGGTTGAAGGTTTTTCATAAGATCTATTAGCCCTAGTCATTATGAGAGCACTGTTGCATAGAGGCAGGTGCCTAAACATAATTTGCTGATGATGTAGCTATGCTGACATACAGAGCAAGTCATTCTGTGCATGGGACCCTTAAACATATCTTTACATACTCCCCTGTATTGCACCTTCCCAGCAGCTCACGTGTAGAGCTGCACTTGCTGTGAATATGACTCCCTCTTCTCTGACCAGTGTAACCTGGTCATTCCAGCTTTCATCTGGCTCTGCAAATGCAGTATTTTCAAGGCAATTTGTTACATGTTTTGTACAAATTTACTTTAGTGGGAGTAATTGTTACTGCCACTATGCTTTCTGTCTAAAATAAATTCCATCTAGATTTTGTTTATTTCTTGTGAATAAGAGCACATATAGTAATTATTGCTCATTCCCATTTCAGAGAAAAAGCTAGTCAGCCTGATGAGTTCAAATGTCTGCACACATAAACAATTATGTAGTGTATGTTTAATCTGGAGTGTGCACAGTGCACCTAATACACTTGCAAGCAAGCAAACCAGGGTGTAAAGCACTGTCTACAACTCACAACTTCTCTGTGAAAGACTGGCTTAAGAAGTTAAGACCAGACATATGCTTCATTGCGAGAAAAGAGCACACACACTCGAAATCATTGCCACAAGTACGCCACAAGTCCCTTTTTCTAGTAACAGTTCCCAATTAATATGTCTCTCAATATTTCTCTCAACACTACCCACAAGAAATAGTCAACTTGTAAGGTGTGAAAATTCTGAGTC